ACTCATTTATAAAATGAGTAAAAAGTAAATGAAATCATTTCAAATTTATTATAGATTCCATTATAAGGTAGTTAAATGTTAAAACAACTTTATCACGTCTATCAACACAGGAAGAATTCAAAGCATAAGGGTATATTCTTATCAAACTATTTTCTAAAATTAAATTCTAACATTACAATTTGTACATTTAGAATTTCAAATATACCCTGAATTTATGGAAAATTATTCTTTGCTTTGAGGGATCTATAGTTTTCAGATCTTCCAGGCTAGCCATCTTGACATTTCTATGTAGTGTTTGCTGTAGAAAAAACATGTCCATAAAAGTATATGACCTACAATAATATACTTTGAGTTCTTTCTCGTCTCTTTCTCTTCTCACGCGCGCACACACACACACACACTTGACCCTTGAACAATTGGTTTGAACTGCCCAGGTCCACTTGTACGTGGATTTTTTTCAATAAGAGTTACACCAAGTGTGCCTGCCTCTTCTGCCTCCCCTTCCATCTCTGCTGCCTCTGCCACCCCTGAGAGAGCAAGACCAGCCCCTCCTCTTCCTCCTCCTCCTCAGCCTACTCAACGTGAAGATGATGAGGATGAAGACCTTTATGATGATTCACTTCCACTAAATGAAGAGTAAATATATTTTCACTTCTTATGATTTTCTTAATAACATTTTCTCTTCTCTAGCTTACTTTATTATAAGAATACAGTACATAATACATATAACATGCAAAATATGTGTTCATTAACTGTTATTGGTAAGGATTCCGGTCAACAGTAGTTAAGTTCTGGGGAGTCAAAATTTACACATGGATTTTTGACTGTGTGTGAGGGGTTGGGACTTCTAACCCCTGTGTTGTTCAAGGGTCAACTGTGTACATATATACACACATCTATTCTAAATCTATTTCTAAATTTACATTTATATCCATATCTATACTTTTATCCTATATTTCCAGGCATAGGAACACCTAATATCTAGAATTATCAAGTTAAATGGCAATTTTATAAATTTCAGTCTGTTTCTTTATTGCTATAACTTTACAAATAAAGCAAGAGAAGACATTTACCTGATTCTTTGACCCATAAACCTGGTTGTCCAGATTATGAATCATGGATTCTGCTTCCTGGGCACTTTGGAGGGCATTCCCTGAGAGGGTCAGGGAGCCGTGGCAGCCGGGACCACCACACCGCCTGTGACCCTCAGGGCCTGTGCAGAGGGCGCCACCA